TGATCCTTCAGAAATCATTCTAATATGCTGATTTATTATTAGAATTATCAACAGTTGTGCTGCCAAATATTTATTTGGAAACTGCGATACTTTTTTCAGGATTCTTTGATGAATAAAAAGTTTAAAAGAACAGCATTTATTCAAAATATAAATCTTTTCTAACAATATAAATCTTTGCTATCACTTCTTAACAATTTAACACATCCTCGCCGAATAAAAGTTTTAATTTCTTTCAAAAAAAGAAGAATAAAAATGTACTGACCCCAAACTTTTGAACGGTAGTGTATATTGTTAGAAAATATTTCTATTTTAAATAAACGCTCTTCTTTTTAACTTTTTATTCATCAAAGAATCCTGAAAAAGTATCGGTTTCCAAAAAGATATTTGGCAGCACAACTGTTGATAATTCTAAGAATAAATCCGCATATTAGAATGATTTCTGAAGGATCTGAAGACTGGAGTAATGATGCTGGAAATTCAGCTGCGCATCACAGCAATACATTAGATTTTAGTGTTTATTAAAATAGAAAAATGTTATTTTACATCATAATAATATTTCACAATATTACATTTTTCCTGTATTTTTGATCAAATAAATGCAGCCTTGATGAGCAGAAGAAACTCCTCTAAAAACATTAAAAATAATTCTAATGCCAAACTTATGAGTGTATATATGAGTAGTGAACACACACACCGTTGCTCAAGGCTCTCACCTCAGTCGTGGTGTTGAGGGCGGAAGACAGCGCTGGTCATTCACTCCCCCAACAACAATACTGAGACTCGAACCCCTGACCTTTGAGATACAAGTCCGACTCTCTAACCAACAGGCCACAACTATGTACGCTGCTTTTTCATATTTTAATATCTAAGAAGAAACACTAAACTGTTATTGTGAGAGCGGCTGGGGCTGGAATAGTCTGTGAGCTTCCTAAACACCAATCTTATTCTGTATTCATGTGAAGATGAATCTGTCCAGCAGAAGGCAGCAGATGATTTAATCAGAGTCAGACGGGCCTCCATCACGTCACACAAACACACGACCAGACTCAAATCCTCACAAAATCCGCCGAGTATTCACAGTTCTGTTTATATACGTGATAGAAATCATTCCTGGCATAAAAGTGATTGATTTTTGATTGATTCGGCCTGCTATGAAAGTGCTCGTCACTGTAAACAACCGAACTCTGTGTGAAAAGTCTGTTAGAAATCGACCTGAAACAGTTTTCATCTGTAAGTTGATATACTGATTTAATTTTTTTAAAGAAATCAGGTTTTTTTTTCCCCTAGACTCGCTTAAATGAAAGAATCGTTCACAATAAGACCAGAAACATGAATTCAGAGACTAATGGAGTTAAACTTGATTTCATGTTGATTTAAAGCACAAATATTCAGCTGCAGTGTGTTTGCGGTCCATAAAACATCATTCACAAACAATGAATGATTTTATGATGTTTTATAAAGTTTTTAAACAAATGTACACAATGATTATATACTGTATGCATTGTAAAAAGTGCTCATTTTCTATACTTTTATACTTGCTTTCAGATGCTGAACCTGAAGAATTAGATCAATATTCATCGAAATCAATTTCTGCTCTGTAAGGCACGTGTGTAAAAGTCTTCAGATGCTATTTTCACATTAATAAACAAACAGCTTCACCTGAGAGTCTCAAATACAGCAGAATTCATATTTCATAATCCAGATCATCTTTGGCTCGCATGTTCTCTTTGGTTATTTTCTATATTTTCCTTTAATAAACACTTAAATCAGCTGGATTCGGTCTGATTTATCGCTCATAATCATCTCGGGGGTTTATAATACTGTCAGTTCACTAAGGGTCTCTTGGATTTTCTTGGTGCACGTCCCAGAATCCTTTGCGTCAGGATTCATGTTCCTCTGTGTTTGACCGTTTCACGTCAGCGAAGCAGATTTTCTCTGAAGCTTATAATGATTCATAACGAGCGACTGGCGTCATACACGCGCTCTGGATATGGAGTATGAGTTCATAGCTAAATAAACATCACCTGTACTGAACGCATGCATGTATTTGGCGTGTTTAGTTGTTCCTGTAAAGTGCAAATGTCACACGTCTGTCTGAAACGGACTTTATCAGGTGATTCAGCAGACAGGGGTCTGGGTTCGGATCTACTTCTCGTCGTTCCCAGAATCCTGTGCGCTCTTGTCGTCGGAGCTGACGGACGAGATCACGGCGCTGCTGATTTCACTGATTCGCTCCACGATGCACTGCGCCGTCAGACGCGCCTCGGGGTCGTGATCCCAACACTCCTCTATGCTGGAGCTCAGCAGCTGAACGCCCTGATGATGATGATATGAAAACAGTGTAAAATAGATAAATAATAAAAATAAGATTTGACTGAATACATAAATAATGATTCAAATAAATAAATGAATTGTTAAAATAAATAATAAAGATTTAAAAAACACAATTATATTAAAATTAATAATTAAAATAGATAATAAAAACAACAGATTAAACTAAAATAAATAATAAAAATGAAAAAATAAATAAATAATAAGATTAAACTAAATATATAAATTACTAAAATGAATAAATGAATGATTATAATAAATAAAAATATAATATTTGATT